ATTTCTAAGTATGTTAAAACACTTTAAAACAAATGATACAGTTAGAAAGTAAAAAGGAATATGTAATCAGTTAATCGTTTAATAATAGTAAAAAATTAGCATAATATTGCTTTGATGGCACTATGTGTTTGCTGGAACCTCGCTAAGTGGTGTATAAGTTTGAATCACATTAATTGGCTAGTGAAAATAAACTTTAAAAAATCTTTTAAAAGTGCTTTGTGGCTCAAATCAGGAATAGAAGCCATTCTTAAATTTGAGATCAATAGGTCTATGTGTTACTTATGATCTGCCAGATTATCCTAACCTAACTTATATATTACACAACAAGATATTTTCTATAAAACGTGTTTATTGTCATAGATTACAAATCTTGTTAATTAATACTGTTTTTGTTATCAAGTCCATATTAAAATCAGTATCTTCATATATATATATATATATCTTTTATATATATAGCTGGCATCCACTTAGGAAATATTTTATTGATCTATAAAATGTCATGTTCTTTGAAAAAGGTAAAAAATTCCTCAAGACGTAAGCCAAATTTTGGATTGTTGAATATAATACGTCTGTTTTCTATAGCCTCTTCAGTATTTAACAAAAAATTTGAAGGATCAGACAAGTGTTCCTGCTCGTTTATTAGTATTGGTAAAAAGCAAGTAGCTGTTACGAGACCTGTAAAAGAAACAAAAAAAAAAAATTATTGAACATTTAAATCTTAATGTTTTTATGGAAATAATTTAATAATATTTATATTTACCATGATAACCCTTATTAACGATTTCCTTTCTAACATCGTCCAATGTTGGTATTCTTAGTTGATAATTAAGTTTATGTAAAAGATCAGCTAAGGTAGTGTGATAATGCTCTAATAGCTTAGTGAAATTATTTTTCAAAACAACAACTTTCCAAGATGAAAAGATAAACCAGTTCCAATCAATACCTGGAGAACCAAAGTATCCCTCCTGATAATCAACCTTCGGAATCCAAATTTTGCATCCAGTTTATTTTTTATTTTTAATTTAATTAACTAGTCTACTTACAAAGCGCACAGTTTTAAGTTCTCCTTTTTTATCGTATTGGAATAGAATATTGTTGACCCACATATCACCGTGGTTAAGAACATGAAAACGATCTGCTTGGTTACGGCTGAAAACATTTATCATTTTAGGTATGATTTTTTCACCCAAGGTCTTCAGTTTTGGTAAATATTGTTGTAGATTTGGCTGTGTTTTGCAATACTCTATAGCAGATTTTATTAGATTAGTGTAGAGGTCATGATGAGGCGATGGATGCTCGGATACATTGCCAGGCAGATGATTACTAAATAGTTCCGGATTCTGTTCAAAATGTCGAACAACATAAGTTATGATATTGAATATACCACATATTAAAAGCATGTATATACCCGCTTGTACAATATCATTGTGGCAGCATGAAATTTAGCTAATTTCTCTAGAATAAGTTGGCAGTGCGGAAAATCCAAGCCTGCTTTTACGTCACCATGCACATAACCGTCAGGCCTAAGATTCTCTAACACAATAATACGTTCATCCACATAAATTGATCTTGTTTCAAATATAATATAAACAACAATTTCTTCTCTAAATTCTGTATTATACATACTTAGGTCCGAATACCGTGTGGTCATCTATGGTATTTAATAACTCATATATTTGAGGCATAATCGCTGTATAGAACTGCGCTTCACGTTGATACATGTTAAATTCTTCTTCGATCTCACTCATTATTTCATTATCAACTCGTGTTTTAATAATAAAACTAGTACTCTGTGCCTCCGTTCCCGGTTTTGTGACATATTCCACCGACAGCAAATACAAAGCACCTACAAAATTTTCACCTTTCACAGTGGCTGGTGCTTTGGTATAAGACTTGACTTCGCTTAACTTGTCATTTGTATAGCTATTCAGTATTTTCGTGACGTATGCCTCATCAATCCATATTGGCTCTTGGTCAATTGGGTGTGTTGGTGTGTCACCCATTTTCATTTAAAATTGCTACAATAAATAAATTTAATAAATATTAAATTGATTCTTACTGGAAATGGTTTTTTTTTGTAAACTACAACCTATTTGACCCCCAGCAAAAAATGGGAGAGAAATAAAAATTACCGTGAAAATTTTTATGGCTCAATTAATTTAAATTGATTTTGACACCTAAATTACATGTTGGCAATAAAATACATATTTATGTAAAATATTTTATTAGGTCTTTAATATATAAATATATTTAAATGTATAAGTTATATACTATGTACATAAAGTATATATTTCTCTTGGTTAACGTTGGATTTACGATAATGACTTTATCCAGAGTTGAGAAAAATTTTTATATAATTTAAAAAATTTTAATATTAATTTTTTTTTAACATTAAAAAAATGAACTTAAACTTTGATATTTGACGATTATATAACTATCAGATACTTTAAATTATCGGTCGATCTTTAGGTTTGCAATAGAAAGTAACATTATATGCATCTGTCTAAATCTCTTTATGGATGACTGGCATTTTTGTTTCGATGAAACCAAAATTGATAAAATACAATTAATTAATGCACATTTCAAAATCAAGACTTTGATGCGATTATATATATAGTATATAAACATAAACATACATACGAGTAGAAGAGTTGTCTGGATTTTTAAAAAAAGATAATAAATTTACTTAAAAAATAAAGGTTCACTCACTTCAATGAAATCGAAACTCGCATGAGGCTATTTCTTCTGAGTTCTAGAGATTTTAAGTTAATAATATAAACATGTATCTCATTTATTTGCAAATTGGAATTGTTAATAATATTTTTTTTTGTTTAAATATTATTTATTTACACGCAAGTACACTTAAATGAATATGTAAATATTTCCAGTATAAAACAAGTGTTAAAATTTATCAAATGAATTCTATCGGTTAGTGTGATTGTGTATGAAAGAGATTGGTTGCTTGGTTGCTTGACCGTTTCATATGACGGCAGGGCATATGGGCATATCGATTTTTAATTATTCGCACAAACATTATCTAATTATCTGTGCATTCCTGTTTATAAAAGTATTACTTATCAAATCGTACATGATTAATAACTTCGAGAGTTTATATATACCCGTATATATGTTTCAGTACATATCAGTTCTCTTTTATCAGTTTAAATGTTTGTTTGTCAGTTGCTTAATACTATATTTTCCAACTCGCCAGTAGAGGATTTGAAATTCAAGAAAAATTCTAATGAGAAATATAATGTAATATATGTTCTTGTATTATTTATGCAGTGTTTATAATCTACATTATTTATGTCACTAAACCAATTATATCAGACAGTGCTGAAGTGCTGAACTAAGTAGTTAATCGATTTAGGATATAATTTCATTCTACAGTGTGTAGTTATTTCGGTACTCAAAATTAGGGGACTCAAAATTACTTAGTAGGGGATTTGATATTTACTCATATTCATATACACAGATGCACGCATACATTACAATAATAAAAGCAATAGCAATAGCAGCAGAAGAAAAGTATTAAAAATTTTACAAAATTAAAAAAGAAAATAAATTGTCAGTAAAACTTCGACCATTAAAAAGAATATCTTTCGTAAAATAAAAGAAATAAAAGAAAAATTACATTGGAATAACTTTTCTCCAAGACGTTGGTTATGTTTATGAGTCGTTATTTAAAAAACCCTGGGCATGTGCAGCTGACATTCCCATGAATCAGATTATTGTTTAAATTCTCTTTTTATCCTTTAAATTAAAATTTTTTAAATAACATCGCCGTATAGGACAAGTTCCTATGCATTTCATAATAAAAGAACAATATTGGTTACTATATACTTAATTTTATAATTCAAAGTACTCCTTAGATTGGCCGGACCTCTATAAACTATCAGATAGAAAATATTTATTACACGCAACATCGATAGTTTGGAAAACTTTAGAGCCGATTAACTGGAAAGTTATATAAAATAGGAAAATCAGAATTTTATTACTTAAACATTGGCTCAATCTCAAAATAACTAAAATATCATATCTATTCTCTATAGAATACCCCTTTTATAAGCACCTTTGATCGAGAATATGCTATAAAGCAGTACAAAATCTTTAAATTTTAAGCTTAAATCTGGTAAATTTCTTTAAATTTGAAATCATAAATTACCTTTCGATGGGAAGGCATGCGTCCAAAAAAGATGTCATGCCGGTAAATTTGAAGGAATATATAAGTCAAACATTAAAAACACTAATATTCACTACTTTCCTAATAAAAAATTAACATTGTTACCGGTATCTTCAGTAGATAATGTAACAAAGCTGCTTTAATCTGTTGTTTTAATAAGTTGATCTCGTTGTGTGGACTTTGAGAAAGTTTCTTCTATTCATTAAGCTTATGGCATCATAGCTGTATGGCATAATAATGTACACATTTAAAACAAACCATTTCTTCAGAAATGGAGTTACAAACGTATGTAAAGTATCTTTGGTTGTTATTTACTTAGTTTTGGTTAAGAAAAAATGGATTATAGTCAATAATATGCTACTATGGTTGAAATATAAAGAAATTGAATTGGAACACAGTTCAAATACCCTAAGAACTCTGTATCCTTCACCATTCAAATCTTTGACCTGTTTATGTGTCTATTTATCTATGTCTTTTTGTCTATTCACTAATCCATTTAACTTTACAAGTGTGTGAAACATATATGTGAATATTCGTCTACTGATCTGTCTATAACATTTTTTTAAGAAAATTTGAAAGACGCATAATATCAAAAGGCTTCATTAAAATATTCCATCTCTTAACGCTGTGTCTGATAACATACATTCCTATTTTTTTAACAAATTAAGGATTTGAGGAATTAAGGATTAAGGATTTTACCACATATCAGCCGCTCCCTAACATAAGCGAAACTAAATTTTAAGTATCAATTTTTTATTACGAACAAATATTTAAATCCTCTATTAACAATATCCAGCAGACACACTTGAAAATTATGTATATTGAAAATATATGACACGAGAGTCACACAGGGTACCTATTCTTTTTTTTTTGAACCATTGGAGATATTAATAGTTGTGTCCAATTCAGCCAGCAATTCCGTTAGTTTATTTATTCATGTATTATTATTATTTAAGCTCTTAAAGATATATAATACTTATGAGTTTATTTACCCTTATTGTATTTACCCTATCTTCTTTGTCAAATCTCGGTAGTGTACTTCCTATAACTCGAACTCTAACTGTACTTAATATGTTTGTTGTCTTTATATATATATTCCAATATTTATTTTTTGTCTAAACTGACAAATTTTTGTTTGCAAATTTTAAGAACAAACAAATAAAAATAATAACAAAAAATTTAATTATTAAAAATCGAATCTATAATAGTTGTTGGGGGACACGTCTGTAGTTACATGTACAAGATATGTAATTAAATTTATACGAATACATTTTTTTCAAAGTTAATTTAAAAGCTATTATAACAAAAATAATAGTATAATAATTCTCTTTAAATATCATACCTATTTGTCTATCTATCTATATTTGATATCCTCCTCCTCTTTTAAAGACTCAACTTAGCCCATGTTCTAGTATTTAGTGATAATGTTGATCCAACTCTGCAACACTCTAGCAATCACAGTGCAATGAGTTTGTAAACCATGCTGGTATATATGGTTTACATGTTGATATAGTTGTGATTCATAAGACAGCTAGGCTAAACCAAAAGTATATTTATAAAAACTTATATAATATAATAACACGCAAGAATTGAAAATGACTGTCAATCGAATTCCAACGAAAAATGGACTTAGTTTCCCCACACTAATCCCCATCTATATACGTCTTCATCTATATATTTGTTTATTGGGGCTATTAAATAAAATATATGGAGTATCATTATTGTTTAGTTTTCAATTTATTAAACCTGATATTTCGAAACTTGTAGTCTTGGTAAATACATATTTATTATTTAAATATAATTGAGTGTGAAGATAACTGGCGTTATGTTCTCGTATCAAACGAATTTCCACTGATAAAATAATTTTCTAGTAAATTTCTACTTTCTTTGTTTTGAATAATAAATTTTTAAGTGTTAAGATTATAATTAGAATTTTTTTTAATTTGTTTACTATTATATACATGTAGGCAAATGTTCATTACATTTTCATATATTATTACTCATATACGTACATGCGATTAGAAAATAAATAGAAACACTAATTCTTAATTATTTGAAACACAGATCTTTACTTACATTAAACTTTGTAAATAATTCAACTCAACAATTAATTAATAATTCAAATTATTTAAATTATATAAATAATATACATTTACTGAGTTATTGTTGTTCTTGTTATTCTTGTTGTTACTCCAGCGATAGTTCATCGAAAACTAAAATTTGAACGCTAAGCTTTTTAGCTCTTCAATTAATTTACGACGATTTTGTTTGCTTGCTCTCTTCGACTTGTTTGTTTCCTGAGTTTTTTTTATCAGATCGGGAAGCTTTTTCACACTCTTAACTACAACATTACTAGATAATGTTTCTGAAGTTTTAGGTGCACTTAGCTTTTATAATAACTACAAAGCTACGCGTCGCCGACATCTACAAAGCGAACCACACTACAAACCAAACTATGACTTGTAAGTCTAACGAGCATAGCAGAATATAAGAGCTCCATTTATGATAAAAGAGCCAAAATGTTTGCCCACCTAACATTTCGGTTTGAGAATGAATTATGGAAAAGAAATAAAATATATCTCATCCATGATATGTGAGATAACATTATCTCATTAAGATACTTAACAAATCAATCAATACATATTTTTTTTACTTATTTCTGTTCCAAGTATAACTATAGAAAATTCTATTTATATAGAATAAGTTCAGGTTTTATTTGCTAGATTTAGTCCCCAGAGACTTGTTCCAAACCTTAATAAAATGTTGGAAGCAAACAGATTTACTACGAGAGTAGCTATTCGGAGGAACAGTGGCTTATGTTGAAGAGTTAAAGAGAACTATATTATTTGATATAGTTCAGTTAAGATATCATATCGAACTGGAAGGAATTTATATTAAAATATATAGAATCAACTAAAAAAAAGATGCTCTTATATTTTTTTTAGAACTTTTCAATTAAGAATATTTTATATATACATTTGTAGGATATTTAATGAACTACCAATAATTATACTACGCAAATCATTTGGACAAATTCTCTATGAGTTGTGGGGTATTATTACCCCATAAAATTATTACATTTGAAAGCTTGTTGGTTTTTATTTTGTTTATAATTCAAAGCGTTTATTACTTATAATTGACAAAAAAATGACTGCTGTAATAAGCTACTGTCTTAATAATATAATTCTACTATTATCCTATTAATAATATTATTATAATTATTATTACAATAATAGTCTTTAAAGAAAAGACCTTTGTGATACTATATGAAGAATAAAAACTGGAGAACCAACTGCTTTCAATAATGCCTCAATTTAAGTAGTTTTTAAAAGTTAGACGGATTCGAATAGCAAATAAAAGACAAGGACAAAAATTTATTTAATTTATTGAAATTTGGCTGACCATACAACGCTGTTTCGAGTATTGCAAAGTACTCATCATCATTGGTCTTAGAAAATGTCGAACATTTCTTTTATTTATTATATTTAATGTATTCAATTATGCCGATTAGTCAATTACACATTTTTAACAAAACCAAAGTGCTGATAATAATTTCAGTAATAATAAATGTTTAAATTTTGTTTGCATCTTTTTCTTTTCTATTTGTTTAAAAATCTGTAAAAATCTTACCTTCAACTCCAAAAAATATAATTGAGACAATATTCCATTTATCTAATTTCCAAGGTCTGGTAGATTTTTTTGCCCTCACATTTGCTTTCCAACATCAACATTAAATCATTTATTAAAGTGTGCCAAATATAGACCCGTCACAAATTAACAAGGAACAAGGTTTTGTATCTTTAATAAAAAGTCATAGAATGATCTATGTAGAATTGGGAACGTTTTTTATGCTCTATTAGTACTGTTAAAATGTGTCTGACATTATTAGAGATTATCACAGCCTGGAAACCAATGTAATAAATCGTTTTTTATACTTCTAGTATTCATCTACTTACTAAAAATTACTAATATTCAAGGAAAACCAATTCATTTATACTGCATTAATTCCATAAGAGTCGAATTTATTTAACTGAAATATTTTTTACAAGCAAATATATCCCTTTCAGCTTCTAAATATAATAAATTATAAAGAGGTTTTCGAACAGAAGTGAAACAACAACAAAAATTTATTTATTAAATTATTTTAATTAATTGAATTTTTGGCTGACCATACAGCTGTTTCGAGTATTGCCAAATACCCTTCATCAGTGGTCTTGCAAATAATTCTCGTATTTAATTATTCGTAAATAATTATTTTTGAGACTGCAAGTACCAGGAATCGAACTCGGGTCCTGCCAAATGTGAAACTCAGAATCAGCGCATCTTAACCAACTGATCCAAAGCAGTACTTGACTTTTTTCTTCGCATATTTTTCTGGAGTTTTGCTACTATTACTATGAAAATTCTTATTAACAATTTTACTTGCTGTGTTTATATTAGAACGAAATCATAAACCAGCTGTAGAATAATTAAATTAATTAATTAAATATATTTTTTTTTATATTTTTAATTGTTAAATTTCAATACTATTCTTTTTGTAGAGGCATTATTTGTTGCATGATTCGTTCTTTCTTAGGTATAGAACCTAATCTAGGAACGTAATGCTGAGAAAGTCATGCTAATGTTACTCCAGTAGTCGCACGGGCGAGACCAATATTTTGTGAATATAAGTTGTAATTTAACGTCAAATTTTCCAGACGAAAGTGACTATTATATTTTAATAGAAACTTATTATATTTCATAAAGAGGTTTTTCGAACAGTAGTGGAATACAACAACAAAAATTTTATTTTTTATATTATTTTAATTAATTGAATTTATGGCTCACCATACAGCTGTTTCGAGTATTGCCAAATACCCTTCATCAGTGGTCTTGGAAATAATTCTTGTATTTAATTATTCGTAAATAATTATTTTTGAGACTGCAAGTACCAGGAATCGAACTCGGGTCCTGCCAAATGTGAAGCTCAGAATCAACGCACCTTAACCAACTGATCCAAAGCCGTACTTGACTTTTTTGTTCGCATATTTTTTGTTGTTGTTTCACTTCTGTTCGAAAACCTCTTTATGTAAATATAACAAGTTTCTATTAAAACTATAATAAATTATAAAATTTAGCTATAAAAAAAGTGATTACAAATACAACATTCTTCATTTGTATTTAATTTAATCAATAAAGAAAATGTTCCCATTTATTTAATTAATAAGATCTTAACATCTAAAAAAATTTTAACACGTTTTTGTGTCAATCCAGCTAAAATAATAAAATAAAAAACAACAAATTATATATGGTGATTTTTTTTTGTTTTTTATTTTGGTTAACACACAACAAAAATTCCCGAATAATAACAAGCATTGTAAGAATTTGTGATTGTTTAGAATCCAAAGTTGCAAAAACCAAATTTACAAAAAATATTCTGAAAGGAAACCAGTTTCGAGTACTACGTCAATAGATCTCAGATTTCGATACTTTTGTACTTTGAGATGATTTTTGTACCTAAGGCGAAATTAACATTTTTAAATTTTATTCAATAAAAATTAGTCACAATGGATACATCGAACGCAAGCTTTTCAGATCCTAATACTACATTAGCAAAAACATACATTATTCTAATATTGACAGTAATATTTTTATTTTGGCGTAGAAGACGCTTCTATAAGCTTTCCCGTCTCTTTCCTGGACCATTGGAATTACCAATTATTGGTATATTTTTTCATGTGTATAAACCGAGTTGTAAGTAAGAATGTAAAAATAATTTATTCATTTTTTAACTTTTTTTTTTGAATTTGCTTTAATCAAATTCTAAGTGCTTCTGCTTAAACTGAAAATGGTATTGGAAATTTATAAAACGGAGACGATTTTTACATACTTCGGACCGCAACCGACGCTTTATACTGTCGATCCCAATTTATTTCAAAAAGTGTTCACTTCATCTAAATTGTATAATAAGCCAAACATCTTATACGAACCTCTTGGATATCTTTTTGGTGATGGGTTAATAACATCTAAAAGTGATAAATGGCGTCTACATCGCAAACTTATTGATCCGGCGTTTCGAAAGCCTATTTTACGCAACTTTTTAGCAGAATTTAACAAAAACTCTAAAGAATTCGTTAAACAATTGGAGCAGTTAGACGGCAAAAGTGCAGATAATCTAAATGAAATGCTGCGTAAACTAATGTTAACAAATGGCATGGGTAAGTAAAATTTGATTAATAAACTTTTTCAAATTTTTCTAAGCGGAAAGCGGAACAATTTTTTTAATCAGGTTTTGTACATTGATAAATGACCGTACGGTCTAAAAGTATATATTCACAATAGTATTCACAATAACATGCCAGCAAACGTAAGTGCAAAAAATACCTTTAAGGTATTTAAGGTATTCTTTGTGTAAGTATTTCACTGTTCAGTGCCGTAGGGTGGCTTTTGCGAAGGCACGATGTTTGAGACATAAATTTTAAACATTTTAAGGAATTTTATTTTTAATTGTTCCAAATAAAACATATTTTACTTACTTCACATGACGTTAATTTATATATAATAAATGTTATTTATAAAGTTTTTTTTTTGTTAATTTTCTAATTTACCGTTTTTCATTTTATTTCAATAGAAATCAGATAGATCCATGACCTTAATAGAGATAATTTTGTTAGTGAATAATCGTTAAAAAAAATATACTGGACTTTTAATAAAACAAAATGAAATATTTGCTTACTTGGTTTATCATCATTGCTGTGAACATGTGAATAAAGTAATTTCGAGTATATAGACATACTCAGTAATTCTGTAAAGTGATACAATTTCATGTGTATTTGTATTTCTGAAATTCCAACATTACCAAGTTAACGATCATGTCTTGTCATTTTTTATGTATACGATAAAACATCAGCTGATTGTTATTATTGTGAAGTGTTACACAAAACTTGAAATTAATTTGAAATTTAAAGTTTATGAGCTTTATTAATAACTTTACAATAAAAATTTATAAAATATAATTTGTAAAAAACAATTTTTACTTCAATCAAATTTTTTTCTCGCATATTTATATGACAAAACAAACAAAATCACAATCAGCTGTTTTGACAGTTTCTATTCACAACCTAACCCAGAAAAAATAAAAATTGGGCACTCACACGGTTACCAACTGAGATTTAATGAACTAAGGTTTAGTGTATTGATACGTGATGATTTGCTT